TTATGTATGAAAATAATGGCTAAAGCTAAATACCTCTCAGTAGGGAGTAAAACTGCGTGAGCTGTAGTTATTATTTGATGGTTTAAAAGGCATCCTATTCTAAGTAGTTCAGAGTGTTATATTGAAAGAGATTAAATGGAACATATACACTACGTGCTTTCTTTGCCAAATAACTAAATGAATGTAAGCTTTATTGATGAATTTTTATATTTGTCCAGTAGCATACATTACATTGTTTAGGTACATCTTGCCATCCATTAAAATGGAACCCTTAGCAGTATAACCACATTTTGCATTGTTGTCAATCTTTTGCCCTTCTTTAAGATTATTCAGTTCAGTTTAATGAGCAAAGTGGATGGAGATCTGCATAACAGCCTTCCTTTCCTCCAGTATTTGCTGTTGCATTTCTGCTGGTAAAGATGCTACAGCATTGCTGCCATATTTCTGGGCAACTCTTCAGTCTTGCTTCCTGCCTCAGTACAAACCACTGTATTTCTGAGAGGTATATTATTTTCTTATGTACTGGAGAAACCAGAACTGGTTTCCTTCTGGCACTGTCTCAGTGTCTTTATTACTTTGAGTAATAAGTTTCTTTCCTCTTTTTCTCTAAAGGCTGTAGATTCTTTCTTAATAAGACCAGACCTCATGGACATTTAGCTCAAAGACATGAAGTAAAATCCAAGTAATAACTGGAAGAAGTGTGTACCGAAATAGGCTTTTGTGTTGACAGTAGTAGATCTTTATGTTTCCATGCTCTGAACATGGCTTATTTTGTTGTTTAAAATCATTGCGTCGTGTGCCTGAGGCTTCAGCTGCCATTTGTGTTTCCTCAGCATTAGGTCTTCACACGCACTATAAATATCATGAGCGAACAGTAAAAAGCTGGCATGAAACTCACCGTGATGCCCGGAGCATTTCCTCTTCCTTGCTGAACTTTACCAGAAGTAGGGGCAGCTCCGGCATTATTTTTAATACACACACACCGAAAAGACTCAACAGCTTTCACTTCCACTGTCATCAAACAAATTTGCCTAGCCTTGGGAATATATAACTTAATATTTCATGTCCTCAGCTGGTTAACTGAGTAATTGAATAAGACTGCTTGAAAGAAACAGGCAGACTATTATGGAAGATCTCATTGGCCATGCCAATAATAATAGGAGCAGTGTTTCTGTGATAGCACCAAGGGGGCCTGCAGGACGTCCATTACTTACCTGACATTCACTGATGTTTAGCTCATACATCCTTGTAGAAAAGTAGAGTAATATTATTTATTAATAATATTCATTATTTTGAACTTGGAAACACTTTCAAGCAACAGGGCATTTTGAATGAAATAATCTGAGTTGAATGATTTTAAAGTTGTATGTCAGCAATGGCTGTTCTTACTCTTGTTGTAACAAGAAATTGCTTTTGTGTGTGTATGTACATATAAACAGTATATACCAATTATGTTTATGATTATTTCTGGAAGAGAGAAAGTGACATGAATCAATGTCGTATTTTGAAAAGGAATGGAATTTAGTTGGTAACAATTGTAAGCCTTAAGAATTTTTGCACTAGGCGCATCAAAACCGAATTCATTATATCCCATCAGTCACTCCTGAAAATTTTAATTTTCATGTAGCTATTGATTTTGGCAGGCAGGCAGGCAGTACTGCCTGGGTGTGTTTGGAATAAACTGTGTTCTTTAAACCTCCCATGACATTGTGAAAAAGTAACTGTGCTTATAAAGGTTGAAACTTTGGAAATGGGTGTTCCAGGGTGTGATAGTTGTTGACTACAGAGTATTGTTTATCATACCTTGGTGTAAGAAATTACATGATTTTTATAAAGGTGTTTGGTGTTTGATTTGAGATAAAATTGCCCAAATTGAGTTGTTGATTCTATACCCATTCAAAAAGATAAAACTTTTAACACAACAGCAGTGAAAGATCAGATTCTGTATATTAGGAAATAATGAAGATTGCCTTGTTGCTATTGGCGTGATTGGCGTCTTGGTGAGATGTTGCTTCAACTATCAGCAGAATAATCCTGAGAAACCAGGTCAATGCCTCTTTAAGGGATAGGTCACATCCAGGAAGGCAGAGAGTCACAACACCTGCCCGGAATAGTCACATTTATCTGACCCAGGTGCGTAATCACATGCAGACTACAATTTCTATAGCACAATACTAGGAGGAGGCCGATGGTAGCCTGTCATCTTCGCAACAGTTTTGTGTTGTTGAAGTCAACCATTGCAGTGGTAACAAGTGTAAAACAAGAATAACTTTGCAGCAGATCGAAGGAAGTCTTGTTTAGCTTAGCGATATGTTAACGAAGTCTCTTTGGGACCAACTTGTCAGTGCCAACAGCATTCATTTTTGATCAACTTGTCAGTGTCATCAACTGGAGACTGTTAACAAGCGCGACTGGCCAGCCTCTGCCAGCTGGTTGGTAGACAACACGATGAACATCCAGTTGTCTAGCATGGGGCTGTTTGTGACTCTGTGTAAACCCTGCCAGGATTCTTTTAATGATCAGTATTAACCTTGTGATGGTTTCCATTATGAAAGGGTTTTGAGTTTCATATGGACACCTTTTTTCAGTATTTTTACATTTTCTGTGGGTTTGCTTATTATTTAAGTTGATAAGATTGGCAGTTCTTTACTCGCTGTCATAACTACTTTGTAAACACTGCACAAAATAATCAAACCGGATGCATTAAAACCAATCTGCAGAATCTCACATAAACATTCTAGGACCACTTCCATCTGCATCTGTTCCATCTGACCTCTCAGGTCATTAATGGTATCTTTCATCATTTTCACCTTGCTTATTTCTACTTGGAGTTATGCTCCAAAAGCGTGTCTTGTTATGAACATTTACAAAAACATGAGTGCCTGTGATATCATTTGCACACAAATGGTTGCAAGAGATTGTGATCTGTTATTGTTTAGTGGAAGAGATATGATGGTGTTTTTAGCTTCGTTCAAGTAAAATGTTCCCAAAATATTTGGTAAAAGCCACATGTTGGCATTTATTGGAATATCAGTATGTCCAGAACTCTTCAGTCTCGGACCGCTACATTTCTGAAGTTTAATATCTTCTGTGATAATTTGGACTGGATCAGAAGTACAACAGCGGATGTAAGGGAGGGTATTTAAGCAAGTCCTACATTTTATGTTGGTATGGTATGTGTGCAGCTGTACAAAGTATGTTGTATTCCTCATGCTGTAGTTCCCAAGATATAAAAAAGCAGTTACCTTCTAAAGAGGATAGAAGTTAGAGCTCCTAAATTTAATTTTCCTTTTTAATTAACAAGCATATTGTTCCTGAAAGTCAATATGAGTGGTGGTAGTGATAAAGCTGTGCACAAATCTCAGAGAGACAGTTCAGAGTTTATAATTTAGTACTGTAGAATTTTAGTAATTTAGTAAAGTGTTCAGTACTCTCCAATAACACCTGGAAACTTAATTTTCTGAAGAGAGGCCTTTTCATTAGCAGCAGATGCAGAGAGCTTTGTTTGACTCACTCCACACATATTCAGCATCACCCAAATCAGACAGATTACATTAGTCTGAGGAACTGACTAATACTCCAGTCAAAATAACACTATTTACAGGTAAAAACAAACATGTTTTTAAAGGAATGCAGTGAAGATTTTATTTTGTCTAAGGTAATAAGACACTTGAACCAATTTTTGTTTTGTGTGTACTCTTTGATGTTATATTTTCTACCGTGGATCATTAGAAAAAAGGTTATGAACTGCAGTAGATTTTCAAACAGTCTCACTTGCATAGTTCTGTCATTTCAAGCCTGCCCATAAGACTTATGCTAATACCCTGCTGTGTGTCTCACTTGCCAACATTGGCACATTATTAAGAAATGAGACCAGTGTAAAAAACCCTGAGAGGTGTGGTTACTACAAATGCATCGAGCCTGTTTGTTCTGTCAGTCAGGCAGACTTCCTCTAAAGGAAGAAGTGTTTAAATGTCTTTGCACAGTGCAGCCTAGATGTAACTGCTGTACTACATGTAGGATACAGGTTGAGTATAAAGTTAGTCAGCCTATTCTGACAGCTGTATTGTGGAGCTGGTGCCTCACAAAGCAATGAAATGGGAAAAAAATACAAAAAGAACGTTGAGTTAAACATTGCTTGACAATGGACAATGGTGGAGCAGTGAGCACTATATCAGCTCAATTTGGTTCTGATGGTCAGTCTGCAAGGAAGACCATGGCACACAGCTGCTTGAAACTGTCCACTCTCAGCATCCACTTTTCACAGTACTGTTTCTGGGACACTCTTTATATTATTTTCAAATTGGTTATTGTGGTTTTGTTAATTACTGTTGGAACAGGGCTGAAACTCAACAACAGCACAGGGTGCAAACTCTACAACAGCGCAGGAGGAATGAAGTCAATGTATACAATATAAGTGCCAGTTGTCAGTAGACCTCCCTGGAGCTGGGACAGCAGAGCCTCATCCTTCAGAGGAGACATAAAACAGAGGTCCTGACGCTCTGTGGTCATTATAAATCCCAGAGCTTTCCTCGAAAAGAGTAGGGGTGTAACCCTGGCATCCTGGCCAAATTTCCCTCTGGCATTTACCAACCATGGCCTCCTAATAATCCCCATCTCTAAACTGGCTTCATCACTCTGTTCTCCTCCCCACTGATAGCTGATTTGTGGTGAGTGTTCTAGTGCACTATTGCTGCCATCGCATCATCCAGGTGGGGCTGCACATTGGTCATGGTGGAGGGGAGTCCCCATTACCTGTAAAGGACTTTGAGTGGAGTGTCCAGAAAAGCGCTATAATATTTTCAGGATTATTATTATTATTGAATATAGAGACCGATGCTCCTCTTATTTGCAACACCACAGACTCGCGCTTGCCCAGTCCTTGGGAAGCTTATGACTCTGTTAATTGAAAAAAATAAACATAATCCTTTAATCTTTCAACACAGACATGCTTGTTTCCGCTTGGCAAGGGTCATCATAGGCTTTGTTCTTGTGTCTAGGTTTGGACTCTTGCTGGCCTGTCGCACTGCTGCCCCCGTACCCTGCTGAGCAGCTGTGGAGCCTGATAGGTAAACGTCAGCTTCAGCCATCGCCGAGAACAGTTGATCTGCCAGAGACTTTGCAGGTTGAATGGCGGAACGACCTGTTGTCCCTGGTCAAGGTGTCTTGAGTCTGCACTGTGCTGCTTACACTGTTGTGCTTGACACAGTTAGCATTGGGCACTAAGAGGTATCCTGAATTTCCATACACATTTTTAAGCTTCTTGTTTCTGAAGTTTAAACTCTTCATTTGGCCTTTACTTAAATATTAAGACTGCACAGTCCAAGAAATTTTGTTCATTTGTGCCACTAATAAATATCCACCATATTATAATATTCTAATTATATAATCCAACATAAAATTCAGAAGCTAGTTTGTCAGTCTTTTTAGAAACTCTCATTCTAGGACTGTAAATGTGTCAAGGTGCATACAGTGCATTAGTAGCCAATGAAGCAAGCTTCCTCATAATACTGTCTTTGTAAATTTCCATCTGTGCTTAACCAAAAATTGGAATTTGTTAACTTAGTTTTACCCCTCTAAACATCATTACGGATTTGTTCTGTTATCGCATCTGTTATAGCACAACTGTTTAAGAACAACTGCTGGTGTGAATGATCTGTTTGGTTTTTGTTTTATACCTGAACAGAAGAAAGCTTATAAATGAGAGGAGGACATTCATTGCCTCTTGTTCATTTGGGAACTGAGTAGCCATTCAATCCCAGAATCGCATTCTGGTATTGCCTGAATAGTGGCAGAGAGTTAGATTGCTGCACTATTCATTGCGTGAATGACCGTCCCCAGTTTTCAATTCAAGCTCTTTATTTCCCCCTTTTGACTCTGGGTCCTCAGAGTCCTTTGAGAACTTTGCAAATTTAAATCAAATCTGTTTGTAAGTTTTTTTTTCCTAAGACTAGAGATTAACTTCCATTAACCAGTCTCGCCTTGTCTGTTTTTTTGTTGTTGTTATTTCTCAGCACCAACAGTGTTTGCAACCCTTATTCTTCTGTAGTCCATCAATTATTATACCTCAGTGTTTTATTCATGTTGACCAATGCTTGATCAAAGTGCTTATGTGTATCCATCCTTTTTCCAACCGCTTCATCCAATTCGGGGTTGTGGGTTCCACCCTGGACTGGATGCCAGTCCCTCACAGTGCATGCGCACAGTCACAATCATACACACACTCGCACCAGGGCTGATTTTCCCAGAAGCCAGTTAGCCTACCAGTATGTCTTTGGACTGTGAGAGGAAACTGGAGCAAGTGTGATCCCAGGTAAAAATGGGGAGGTCCAGATTTGAACCCAGGGCACCAGTGTTGTGAGGCAGCAGTGCTAACCACTGCGACATTGTGTCACCCCGTGCGCACAGAGTTGCCTTTAAATTGATTTATGTCAACTGTTCCTTAATTTCTAGTTATTTTTGAAAATTTCTGGAAAGTTCCCAAAGTTACTAATTGCTTGGCAGTTGTCTTGCCCTTTATCAGTTGCTTAAGCTGGTGTCACACTACAGGACTCGTCATGACTTCTAGTCAGAGAGCATATCAAATTAAACGACTGCAGTTGCTGAATCTTGCTGCCTTTTCTGTCCTAGAGGGTGTCAAATTATACGACTAGGAATCGCAGGGGTTGTTTAATTCCACGATTCTGTCACGGCTTTTCATCATGGTTCCAAATCTCGTATTATGCTGCGAATGTACCGCAAGGGCGCCTCATTTTGGAAGCCAATCAACATGGAGCACACCTCTTGCCATACAATGCAGGCAAAGGTCTGTGAAGTGGTGTCATTTTATGGATCTTGGATGGGCACCTCCAGTCCTTGAGAGACTTGAGAGTCCTGCAGGTTTTCATTTAACGGCTGCTTAAGATCCGAAAACCAGGTGTTTTGCCTTAATAATCCACATATATAGTTCAGTTATGTAATTAAGATTAGAAGGTGCAGTGTCCCTAAGACCTGGAGTTACCCGTCCACAATTAAATGATTTTTAAGTTTAGCTTTTATTAATATTTCAATAGCATTATTGCATAATGGAAGTGAGACTGATTGGTCAGTCAGTAACTGGTTTTATTTTCATTGATAGATATTATACTTGTAATTTTCCATTCCCTTTGTACAGACACTTCAAATTTTCTGATTAGGAGGGATAAACATATTAAAAAAATATTTTAATTCCTTTGCCCTACCTCCTTATTAATACATAGCTGAAATAAACAGTTATTTAGTTTCAAAGTTAAATCAGAGATTTCCAGCTGTTTTTAGCAATAAACTAATGTAAATTAATTTAGTAGCATGTAGTATGGCTGTAGTTTAAAAGTTTTAACTATCTTCTCTTGCTTTTCTTTTTTAAATTATACTTTTTCATCAATGTGGGAAAAAAATGAACTTCCCTTTGTTTTTACAGATGTAATCAATGATTCAGCTTCCTTGGGTTCTCAGAGACAATGTTGGACTATCACGTTTTAAGAGGACATAGGCCTAGTTAATGGGTGGAATTGTAACACTCTGCAATTGGATGGTTGAACGAAATCATTAAATAAGTTATGAAATGAAATATGTATTTCTATCTACACTAATTAAAGCTAGGAGAGCCTGCAGACTTAGATTTTAAAACAAACATTTGTTTTAAAAGTGAGTATAGCAATGAAAATTGAAAGCTAAAAACTCATGTCCTTTTTTTCTACCTATGTTTTAATCAAAGGAGAAGTTGTCAGTGCATGGACTCTATTATCAGTCAGGGTCTTGTGGTTTTGTTCTCTTTCCTAAGTTGTGTGTATGAAATGGCTGAAAGGGATTCAGAAAGGTAAAGATCAATCTGGCATCGCTATAGACAGAATTGGCATGGTCTCTGAATGTTGGTTCAGTCAACAAGATGGTCTCTGCCTTCAAGTAAGTCTGGTTTTACATTGTAGTATTCTTAGAATATTCTTATAGCCTTGGACATGAACTCAAGAACTGTTGAAGGCAGTCATTGTGGTTAGATTTTTCCTGCTGAGGTGCATTCTGTATTGTTGCTTCTAGAAGCCACATAAAGCCACAGCTGAGTTGATTTTATCAAAATGATTGGTTTGCCTATGTGTGCATCCTAGTTCCTTACTGTATATGGGACTCCGATCTCCACATTTCAGCACTTCTTCTTTGATGACCACCTGCAGTCTGCATAAAATAATAGCCTACCTTTTCAATGGTATATTGAGCCACAAGCTCCTTTCATCTTTTCGTTTGTAGCAAGAACCGTTCTCTGTTCTGTTTGACCTCGTGGTCCTTTTTGCTGCTCTGCTACAGTACCCTAGCTCATCTAAGGTACAGAGTAAAATGAAAAACTTACTGCATTACATCCTGTAGATATTGGGCCTCCGATTGAAAGGACACAGAAGGCTTCAAAGGGTTGAGTCATATGAACGGTTTCCAAAATAGGGTTCAAAATTAACTGAGTATGCAGCTTTCACCAGTGTGTATAGGCTGATGTGACTTTCATAGTAGACAAATATGCTTCATTAATATCCAGATCTGTTCAGCAAGCTAGCATTCGTGTTAGTGATGCACTTCAGCAAGTGTGTTATTTGGCCTTTGATTTTCATTGTCTTCACAATAGAAACAGGCGAGGACATTTTCAAATCTTTTTTCGTTGATGAAGGTACATACCCAGAAATGAAAAGAACAGATAACTAAAAAACAATTTTTTTTTTATTTCTTGCAGACTTAACATTCATGTCTGTTGTCCTAGATGGCTACCAATTTTGTAATTTCCATTAGGATGGTCGTAATTTCATCGTTTCAAGTTCAGAAAGTTCAATTCAGATAGTTCAATTTGCTGGTGTGTTTTTTTTTTTTTGGTTCATCATCTTGCACTTAATTGAGAGTTGTCTTTCCTGATGTGAGCTGTGCATTTATTACCTTACTTGACTCTAATGTAATGAGGAGCAAATGAGACAGCTTAGTACTGCTTGTTTGGACAGGTTGTGGCAGTTGAATGTGGTTGTTAGAATTTAATGTGGTTTCTTTGGAAAAGCTACATCATGGTATGTTGCAAGTGGTTGTTGCATCACTTGAAGTATGTCTGTTTGCTAGTGACTTTTCCAACTGATAGACGTTTGTTCATTTCAAATTAATACTTCCCTCTAGCTTGCTCTTTCTGGATTTTTTTAGTTTTTTTTAGGGTTCTTAATCAATATCAGAAACTGCAAGTTTTCTAGGAAGCATAGACTTGTTGCCTTGATATTCATTGGTCAAATAACAAAACCCAAGCCTGTTGAAACAGTCGCAAGTCATAAGGTAGTTAACACTTGGGAACTGATAAATGAAAATTGTACTTGTATTAATTGAATAGAAATGGAGGCTACGTTTACATGTAAAACATTTAGATATTCCAGAATGAATTACATTTATGAAAAATTAAGATATTGAAACTTTGACAGGTAACCACCTTTAAACAAATTACTCAGTATTTCTGTTCGATAACTTCCTTTGACGTTAACTTCATTTCCCTTCTAAAAATTGTATTTAAATGTTTTAATTCCAAGTGCTCTTTCATCTAGCTTCAGTTCATACACTTTCTTATTGGTGATTAAGTGTCTTTAGTGGTCTGAATACTGTATGTCATTGTTTCATCTCATTTTGTTTTATGATGCAATCCTGAAATGAAAAGTCTTTGATGACGTATCCTGTCTTACTTGGAATTTAACACTTTTTAATAGGTTTGTGCCCAGTTTAAGTGAGCGATTCAGAGTCGGATACAAGTAAATTGTGCGTGGGTTGTGTTTTCCGCATTTTTCATTCATGGCTGCCTCAAGCTCAGGATTGCTGCTTGAATTATGGCATAGAAATCCACAAGTGGGGGCCTCCGTCGCATTTCTTTCTGGCTCCACTGCACACATGCACTTCTTGTGAAGTAAACTGATGTCATTAACCAACTCTTCAAGTGATGTACATATCAGCAGCTGCTGTCACTCGTGTAGACAAATCTGGGGGTTGATACTGTGTAAGAATGTTCAGATGAGCTGTAACCAGAATTGGACCTTGAGATTGACCATTTTTCTGTCATCTCCAAGTGGAGTTTTTTCTCCTGTGGACTGCCTATTTTGAAGCAGCCGACTACCCCCTGCTGAGACCGTGTAGGCAGGAGCGAAGCCGTGTAGGCAGTTGCCAGCCTTAAATATGGCTTTGCCACCCCGTTTTAGGCATCACCTAAAATCCCATATTGTCTTAAATTTACCAACAATAGAAAGCATATCGTCAGAAACAATTCCGACCCATCTTAAGTGTTTTTTTAAGAGTGTACTTGCAATCTATATTGTAAGTGGTCAGCATCCGCAAATATGCAGCAGATGATTGTAGATTGTTCCCATACAGAGAAGTGAAAGTTGCATGGGATTTTGGCTTTGGCTTGCAGATCAGTTCCATCTTACCTGGAGTTAAAAACCAGGTTCCAGTAAAACCAGTGCAGAGAAGAATAGTAGGACACCTTTAAGTAGTACATCGCAAATAATATCATTTCATGGATGTAGGTAGAATCTCCAACACTTTAACTAACAGGCTAACATGTCACCCTTTGTCATACTCTGCTGTGTGACATACTGCTGTTCTGCTGAAGAAGACCAGTCTTCATGTTCTCCTTCAAGACATTTTCTATATATGCCATCTGGGCAAGCACCTGATAACAGGTTATTCATCATCTTCTTTAACCTGTAGAATGTCTTTGAGAGTTGGTGTAATTTTCTGTAAGATCATTCTTTCCAAGACTACAAGCCTACCAACAGGGAGGTAGGGTAGTAACTGGCAATATGATGTGGGTACCTTCTTAGCTTCAGGAGGGTAATGACTTCACCAGGATGTCATATTTTTGGAGTGTTATGGTTCCGAATTATGTAGGTTAACTGGTCTAACAGTGAAGAAGCAAGAGGATGAAGATGTGTGAGAAATAGTGGGGAAATATTGTCCAGAGTTATTCCAGGGATCTTTTAAATTTCAGGCAGGTAGGGGTCTGGGTGCATTCTTGGATCTTGTATTTGGCATAATTGGTGCTTTTTGTCATGAGCTTAAATCCTTTCCTGTTTGGATTTAAGAGGCTTTGTCCATTTTCACCAGGTCACTGGCCGTTGGGTTGGTGATTAATGGTTTCTAAAGAGGTTGCCACACAAATGTGTGAAATGAAGTCTACTAGTGGTTATCTCCCATCATTCTTATTTGATTTTGTTGAGTGACTCTGTCAGGTACTCTGATAGGTTGGGGTGTTATTGGGGTTTAATGATGGATTAAAAAAGTCTTGAAACCTGCTGAAATCCTTAAGAATGGACAGTATTGATGACCTCCATTAGTAAAGATGGAAATTTCTGGGACAGTGACAATGCTGAGACCCACTACGCCTTGATTTGCAAACGTTGTTCACTACAGGTACCTGAATGTCAATGTGACCTGCACTGGCTGAGAGGAAAATTCTGCAGGACAGTGCTGTCCCAGCAAGAATGGTCTGTTTGTCTTCCGGTAGACAATAACGATTAAGTGTAAAACCTCAAGTGTAGGACTGAGGCTAAGAAGTCTGTGCTGTGGATTGATGTGTCACTATTATTTGGGTTAAAAGTGTGAATGCCCAGCTTGAATTTGATCTATTAGTGAGTCACAAGCTTCAGTGTAAATGTAATTTTCAGGGGTGCAGTTCATGCTATTGATTTTGTTGACTACAGATTGTGTTAAGATAAACTGCTTCTCAACTTGCTGCTTTGTTGCAAAAAGTTATTGCAAGTCTTTTTTTCATTTTCCAATGCAGGCTTCATAATGTAGAAATACATGGCTGATTACTTTAGGTTCTGTAGAGTGCCGCCGTTCAGTGCAAGTTTATCTTTCACTAATGATAAATTGTTTGCTCAGTTGAATGCAATCTGAAGTAGTGTGCAGATAGAGTTTTAATTCCCTGACATTAAATTAAAATCCGTATTTTTGGTGTAGTGAATTTGTATCATACTGTAATTTGCCAAGAGACAGAAACAGCTGTTACAGAAAAGGCAGTGTTCAGATTGTCTCAGTCAACAGTCCTGACATTTAACGTTTTGCTGGGTTCACCCATTAGCTTACTGGCATTTTAATCAAAGGTGAAGCACACATATTTGTGATGAATCACATTTCATTAAACACCTTCTCAGAAAGTTGATAAATTTAAAGGTGAATGCATATATGATTAAAAAATGAATAGGAATCAACTATCTGCTGGTACTTTCAGTAAGTCACTAGATGATTCAATTCATTTTCTCTGTTATGACTTGGGGTTTTGTTGTCTGAAAATTAATACAAAAACAAATTTACATATAATTCTAAAGACTTTTCTCATTTGAATTTTTTGAATATGTTCAGGCAATCTGCTAAGTATTGTTTGCTTTGTAAACTGTTTTCTGCATGCATGAAATCTGTACATAGGGATTTAGGTTTTTGTGTTTCAAATGCATAATTGATTTCAGTTTTCTAATACCTTACTCAAATAAGTCACAGTGTGTTTTGTGGAATTATCGATAAATTGTTAATTATATGGAAAAATATTCACAACGAACCAGGGGCCGTTGAAAATGAAAGAGGTTGTTAAAAGATTGATTTTAACTTAGGCTTTTGATTTATGATTTAACGGTGTGTGACAGGACACATCTGTCTGTTGCCTGGAGGCAGATTTGTTCCATGTTCTAATATTATGTGAATACATTTCTATCATTTCTTGAGTTGGGTTATGCAAAAGGACATAGTTGCACTTTCGTATTTCTGTATTTTCATAGTTGTATTTTGAGATGTATTTCTGGTTGTCTTAAGCACTGATGTGTAACCTATTGTTTTGACAGGTTAACAACAATATCTCAGCTGAGGTGGAGCAAAAGGAGAAGTTCCATGCTGGTTAATGAAAGCATTTTTACCATTCTGTGCACTCTGCAATCTGCAAGACAAATGTTCGCCTGCCTGTGGAAGAGGTTTAATTAAGGATACACACATTTTATTGACAGGTATTTTTTTTTATTGTGAAGTGAGGGAAACAGTATTTAAAGGTTTAATATAGTGCCTTCCATACGTTATGGGACAGTGATGTCAAAAGTGCTGTTTTTGCTGTATACTTGCTGTATAAGAAATTCAGATTTGAGATCAAAAGATGAATAGGGGATAAATTGCAGAATTTCACCTTTTATTTTTGGGTATTTCTGTGCTTACATGTTGTCCCACTTTAGAATAATAACACTTTTTGTATTCAATCCCCTCATTGTAGGTGACCATATTATGACAAATTAATTTAAAGTCAATTAAAGTAGTATAAAACTTCTGGAGGGCACAGCAGAACAGTGCCCTTTTAAACAGTTTAATCCATGTATACAATCTCAGAAACTGCTTCTTCCTATGACCCTGGATTATACCGAGAAGCAATTATTGTAATTAACTTTCCTGTAACCGTTATCTCTCACAAAGGTGTGGAGGAATTTTGGCCCATTCCTTCTTCAGATCCCGTCACGTTTCGATGGGATTAACTTTGACTAGGCCATTGTAAAACACATAATTTCTTCTTGGGCAGCCACTCTTTTGTAGATCTTCTTGTATGTCAATGTTAATTGCACTTTGGGCTAAGCTTTAGGTCACAGTCAGAAGACATGACATTCTCCATTAGAATCTTCTGATGTGGAATTCACAGCTGCCTCAGCAATCCAGTACCTGAGGCAGCAAAGCAGAGTCCCAAACCATCACACCCCCACCACTACCTTTCACTCATCAATCTAGGCATCATTGTTCCAGATGTCTTGTGAATCATATATGTACTCTTTGTTGAACTTCCGATGGGCGGCAATGTTCTTGATGGTGAGCAGTGGTTTTCTCCTTGATATCCTTCCATGAACACCATTCTTGTTCAGTCATTTTCTGATAGTTGAATTGTGAACAGTCATAGTCAGCAGGGTGAAAGTGACCTGTAGTTCCTTCTATGTTACTCTGGGGTTCTTTGTAACTTCCTTGAACATCTTCTGGTTTGTTCTTGGAGAGATTGTGGGTAGAGTGACTGGTCTTAAAAACAATTTCATTTGTAGACTATCTGCCTGTGGATTGGTGGAATCCTAAATCGTTTAGTATGGTTTTCTAAGCCTTTCTGAAATGATGAGCATCAACAACTCTTTTTCTGAGATCCTCAGAGATTTCTTTAAATTGTGGCATAACCTCTCTTAACACCCCTGTCTGGTGAAGGACAAACTCAGTGTTTCAGATAATTATCTAAGGTGGAGCCTTCAATCCCTGAGATCCACCTAATTACTTAAACACCAGTTTCAAATTATCCCCTTAATTGAGCTGATGATGTTCACTTACTTTTTCACATACCTTGTATCTTAATTAGTCATTGCCTGTTTTATTCATACATAACCAATTCCATGTCCCTTGAAAGAAAGTTACTATAAACCCTGTTGGATATTTACATAAAGTGTTTTGGATTCAACAAGGCTATTATGGTAAAATTGAGAAATTTCTGTATTTATCTTTGGGGTTCAAACTTTTTTTTAGCAATGCACACAAGAGAAGGCTCTATTGCTCATAGTGTAGAGCCTGGTTTTTGGCAGAGACCCACAAGATAATGTCTTGTAGTGTATCCAGGTAAAAAGCTTATGATAACCTGGAATTTGACTATTAGTGCCTCATAAATGAACAGGAGAACATTTCCACTCTAAATGTCACTAGGCATTAATGTATTTTGTGGAAGATGGGAGTTAAGTACTGCAGTGTATTCATGTCAAGACATGAACTGCAGAATTCTGGTCAATGTTTAGTTCCCTAAAATGTAATATCAAGGATACCAACATTTAATAATGAAGGCTGAGAAAAGATCTTAAACAGTATTTTGCAGGTGAGGCAAAAATACCCTTGATATGTTCAATTTATTGTCATATGTACATGAGTATAATGAAAAGCTTACTTGCATGTTTTCTTCACATTCCTAACATTAACTTTAAAATATAGCACCAAATTTTCCTACTTTCCTTAAGGGTTTGATTTTAGCACTGTCAATAATACTAAAGTCACTGACTTTTGCAGGGTGATTTTAGGTTAAGTTTATAGACTTCTAGTCTTGAAACCATTTGTTAGGTCCTTGAAAGTTAGTTCAGATCCAGATGTTAGTATTGAACAGACATCTATTAATTACAGAAGCTCCTGCGGTAGTATCTGATTTGGTCTGTAAATTTAAGTTTCTCAGCACAGCAAGTGAAATCAGTGATGGGGAATGATCAGACCAAGAAAAAAATAGTGTAAATAATGAAATGGTTAAGTTCCCAATATAGAACCCAGAACACCCCCAAAATGTGAGCCAACACTTTAAAACACTTAAGGTTTTCAAACCGGTTCCAGCTAATTGCAACCTCACTTTTATGGTGTTTTAAACAGCTCATTGCCACAAACGTAAGTATTAAAAATATGCTTATTCAAAGCAGTTTATCACGGTCTTATTTTTTTTTTACTGTAACAAACATCCACAAGTAGCTGTGTGCTAACTCCTACAATAGCTAAAGGTTTGTCATTCATCCAGCTCTGCACACAAAAATGTATTTACCACAGAATTGAGTACGACACCAATTCAAAACTAAAACAAAACCTTCTTTGAAGTGCATTTGGGGTCTTTATAAACTGAATACTTGTAGTTGATTTCAGTCTGCCTTTGTAGTTTAATCTTGAGCTATTGCTGAACTGAAAACTAACTTTCGAGAGAGACATTACAATAATGTTAATTTATACAATTGCCAGATCCAATAGCCTGGGTTTGATTACCCCTGTCTCTGGTTTTGGGAGCCTTCGTTGTTCCATATTCATTTTGGAGTGTAGGGTTATATTTTAACAAACATAGTTGAGCTAAAAGGCTTGTGTCAAATTTAAAAAAATGTCAAATTAAAGTCAATAAACTGTAGGTACTTTTTGCCATTTTCTGTTTTAAACTTCATTTTCAGTTTCGCCTTACCCAGACCCCTACATAATACCATACCCTACTGTTTTCAGACTGAGACAGCACTTGTAATATTGTACCTAAATGATCAGATAGATTCTTAAATATGATTCCTGAAGTCATTTTTTTTCTCAGATACTGTACTGTATATTAAGCTTTTTCATTTTTGAAAGTGATTTTGTTTGAATGAATTGTACAGGTAAATGTCTTCATTCTTCTGCAGTTGCAAATCTGAAACAAAAGCTTTAAAGCTTTTAAGATAGTCATATACATAACACTACTTGTTTTTGCAGTAACCCTAATGTTATCCAGGCAGTATTGTTTAGATTGTTTATTGGCTCAATGCTTTTTTGGTCAGTGTCACCTCACATCGTAAAACAAACTCTCCCAAGGGGTCTAGAGCTCTTGCGTCAGCCCAAATGGGCATTGCATACCAGTGCTTTAGCTCCATTTTTTGTCTCATTAATCGTGATGAAAGCAAAGATCAAAGAATCCTTGTCCCAAAGGCGCATTTACTTAATCCAGGCCTACATCTGGTTTATTACGCCTTAACTGACCTCATCGGTAATCGTCGTATCGTCTTTAGATCTGTGTGCCTGATCACGATGTTCTGGAAGTTCGACCTGCACACCACCTCCCACATCGACAAGCTGCTGGACAAGGAGGATGTGACGCTGCGGGAGCTCATGGACGAAGATGACATCCTGCAGGAGTGTAAGGCCCAGAACCGGCGGCTGCTCCTCTTCCTCAGCCAGGACCACTGCATGGAGGAGCTGGTCACTCTCATCACTCAGGAGCCTCCACAGGACATGGACGAGAAGATCCGCTTCAAGTAAGCCCGCTGACTGCCTCGGTGTGTGTGGGGGTCCGAGGTTGTGGGCCAGGGGTATTGCTAATTTTCCCATTACTCTGATCGGAGGTGATTTGAAGGTATTGTTTTACTTCTTGGTGAATAAAAGAATAACACTTTATTCCTTTTAAGTGAAACATTTTCTTGGAGGCAACCTAAATAATGCAAAATGTGGGATCGGGATTGTTCACTCTTGAGTAATTTTGAGCTGTGCTTAAATTGAATAAATACATCCGATCTTCAGTCGGAGATCTCAAGCATGCAGTGCATGCAAGAAGAACTAAGAATATTTCTGGAGCTAAAAGAGTTCTGCAAAGAAGAGTGGGGTGTGGGTGGGTGGGGGGCTTTGAAAGCAAAAATAGAAAGACTCTTATCTGCCGAAGGGAAATGTTTGGAAGCTGTGATTTCTACCAATGGAGGTGTTACTAAGTATTGACTGACAGAGTCAAACTTTTGCTTGTGCCGTATTTACTGTTTTATTATTTTGATTATCTATGAAACTGTAAATAAATACTAATTGTACATTAAAAATTTGAGGAAAGATGTGATGTTTAAGTTTGTACCACACAGAGGTTGTGTCAGATTGTTTTCACTTGCAGTTTCAGCTGTGAATCAACAAACAGTTTACCCAAGGGTTCCTAAACGTTTGAACACAATTGTAGGTACTCATAAAAGGAGTTCAGAAATGCCCTCAGTGACTTCTTTAAACCAAGTTTAAAGAACACTCCCTCCTTGACTATAAAGATGTAATTGTTTTATATGTCCATAACACACGACATCCTTCCATAAAAATGTATCCCTTGCTGCCAACATGCGAACATATTGTATTATTGAAAGCCACTTATTTTTTGTTTTAACTCTTTTTTTTTTACCTTATTTTATAGCATGATTTCTGACAAACTGCATTTCAAACATATTGTGATCTCTTTACTATTGGTTGGCACAGTGAGTGATATCTACCAGTGGAACATTAATATTCAGCACATAGTCTTTAGCTCAGTCTCCTGTCACCTTGTGATTTTTTTTCTCGTTTCATCCAAGCAGAAAGATGATCAAGATGCTTGGGTATTCCTGTCCCCTTTTCTAAAATGCTCTGTGATTCAGATTCATGTGTATGTTTTGATAGCTTGGTTGTGTTCCTATGGCAACAATGCTTGACTATAAAAATAAAAATAGAACCACAGCTGCTGTTCCTCAAACCATGATGGTTCAAAAGGAAATGCACCTTACCTGTCTCTGTATCTTCAGAAAACAAATGTTTGAAAGTCCAAATGTTCTTTTGGTGTGCAGTGGCCCCAGGGGTCCTGTGCCATGTCACTAGCCTTTTGACCTGCAGTTGTATTCACAACTCCCTGGTATTCTGTTTGCCTCAGTGTTGATGTTGATGGGTTCTTTTTGCAGCTTAAAGCTGATTTGTATCATGCAAGTAGTCTTATTTTGTTAAAACCATACGAGAAAGCAAAATTAAGCACTTCCCTTCTGGTGAAAATATGTGATGGAAGTTGCTATTTCAAAGTGATTCTGCATGAATGCAATCAATAATTTGCAGTTTGTCATAGCTTTGAATTGTTGGTTGATTACCTAAAGAAAATGCTCTCCTTATTTTTTGTACATTATACATGTACATATATGTATTTTTTCAAATGATGTAGCTGTTAAGCATATCAGTGGAATATAACTGGGGAAAAAACTATTAGCCTACACTCACATCTGAAGTTTTTCAACTTAATGAAATTATTAGAGTATATACGTTCCAAAGAAAGCATCATGGAAAGATGTTTTATTTAAGATTGTTACCTAAACAGCCTGCTTCCTTCTTGTTACTGATACAGTTCTTTCACAGCAGTTCTTTTGCGTAATCTATGAGGTCAGCAGCACACAATTCTCCAGTCCATCTCAAAGTTCTATGACATCATTGTAATTCAGATTACCATGCTTCTGATTCCAAGGTGTTAATCAGTGTGAAATTAGACATGGTTTGGTCGCTTGCAATTAATTTATTTCTGTCCAGATTATGCCACATGAACACTGAAATGATTAAAAAATAAAATAACATGGACCATGTTGACGTAGTTTGGAAAGAGACCCTCTTGGGGTTTTTTTAAGTGCATTTTCCTTTTTTGAGCTGAGAACAGTTATGCAGTTACTGAGGAAGCAAATTCCATTTTTGAAGACGTTTATTTATTTGCAATTAGACTTCAGCCCTTGATGACGCAAAGTGTTTGTTTAATATTTGGTTTCTGAATGATTGCTTTAAACCATGATCCAAAATGACTGTAAAATGAAATTTCTAACAGTGGTTTGGACATTCTCTTCATGCAGTTTTTTTTAAATCCTTTGAAATGAATACAGTTTGCCAGTAGTCTTGTGTCTATTTGATTGTAATGGTTTTCTGTTACTTGAATGATACAGAGAACGAAAGAGATCTTAATTTTCTATAATATTATATAAAATAACAGTGGGAATGCTTCACTTAAATGCAGTAAAAAACACATAACTTCTGCATAAGTGCTACACAACATGATTTAACAACATATATAATTCTTTTGCAAACATTTGTGCAAAAGACATTACAGGCACATTTTGGTATCAGTTAATGAAGAAACATGGTTTCACTTGAAAGCTAAAACCTCAGATCAGAATGATCGAACTATTAAGGACTTGGGAGCAGATAGTGTACAGTTCAGCAACAGTGGTCCTGGTATGTTAACGTGAACTTTTATTTTTCTATATATGTTTATCGGTGGTGTTTTATGTTAAATAAGACAAACCAAGTGTTTTCAATGGAGTTATGTACATTGTTTTTGCCATATCAGTGATAAATTGCCATACCAATCACTATTAATACTGTTTCACCACTTGGCTAGTTAAAAGCAGTTGTAAGATTGTGCATTGCTTCCTGGCCAAAGTGTTTGTATCCAAATGGACACAGGCAGTTAGTAGCTGACTATGTTATTTGATTTTCTCCCTAGGAATGTAAAAAAAAAACAACTGTAATGCCTTGCCACCCGTTTTGCTTGCAGGTATTACGTAGTTTACTAATTTCCCCTTTGGTTGGGAGTCTGAATCTTGGAACTTAATGTGCTTGGTGGCTTAGTGTGCATTGGTACAGTCAGGTTCTCATTACCCTTATAAGTCATTATGTCTCCTTTGTATATTTTGATGGTATGGCTTAAAATATGAATGCTTACTCCAGTCAGTCAGTGAAAGATCAATCAGGACCCAACAATACAGGCTTTTTGATAGGTTTGTATGTTTGTGAGAATAGCAATGACATTCACACTTACTGTATCTGTTTGATTCTGAGATAATTTCATTTCTGCTGCTTCACATTTACACTATGTCCTGAGATCAGAATGCAGTCTCTTATTCCACTGCCTTCTGGGTATAAACAGAAACTGTGCACTGCATCAGCATTTCCTGCAGAGTAGTGTTTTCTAGTTTTGCAGATCTAGCTTTTTTCTCCTTTGGGTCAAGTGTTCCGTTTCCTGTAGAGATTTCATTGAGCCGGCACCTGGCAGAATATCTGCCTTTTGCACTGTTACTCTGCATCGGAACTGTTTCTTTGATGGTCACTTTGTCTTCCATGATAGATTTCGTGCCAAGATTTTAATGTTTTTGTGATGGGAGCTGTAACGCATTGAAACAGGCTGATCTTTGCTGTCATACCCAAGATCAGGTATTTCCTTTGTTAAAAGGAAGAGACTGTTTTAAAGGAAAGTTTCTAACTGGGGCTTCATTAATAGTCCAGTTACTCTGCAGTCCAACATACTGTATAGGTCTTTCACTTATTTAGTGTTTTTTATGGTTTCACTAATATAATGGTGGTATTCCTGGGAGAAAAAAAAATAGAAAAAATAGTTCAAGTAGGCTGCTTCAGCATGCTTAGGCTGCAAAGGAACAAGTTAAAGGTTTATTCCATGCTGGAAAGAGACCAGTACACACCCGAAGAAGGCTCCACAGCTGAAATGTTCTGTTTCCTTTCTTCTCTTCTCAGCATGAAAGAAAAAAATATAATTGTGCTGCATATTAGAAATGATGCTAAACTGAGCTTCTGACTTGTATTCTTTTTCTCCACAATCCTGAGCCAGCAACTTAACAAGTGGCTGATAAAGTTTATTCCCACACCATTAGGTAGTGGGACGTATTAAACTGCTTCTATATTTTGGTTGTAATGCTGAAATGTACTGTTAATCTGTGCATTTTACACTTAGCTTTGATCAATATGTGTGTACAATTTTAAGCACTGATGCTTGATTCTAAAGGCACATGATTGTGAACTGTTGTACTGTATGGAAACAGTAATAAAAACAATTATACAGTGATATATTGTTGTTTAAAGTGCTTTGTATGAAGCTAAAATTGTTTAATTGCTAGTTTAGAAAATATTTTGAGGACTGTAAATTATAAACAATTGTAAAACGTACAATGTCCTTCCTGTCATTTCTGGAATTATAAAAATGAAGTATTTGTAAATCTTTTTCATGCAAAATTTTTGCAAAGATCTTGCAAAGACATAAAGTGCTTGAAAACTCTCAGCTAGTTTACACTTCTCAGAATTTAATGTGATTATAATAAAAACAGGCAAATGTGGATCAACAACATTGAATACCTATGTTCTTGAGCTTTAGCATGTATTGAATATCCTTTTTCTTTTTTTTTACACATTGCTTTTGATATCAGGCTGCATTTGTAAGATCAATGTCCTTCCTTATAGAATCTGTGTTTCTTTCAAAATTATTTGTTGTCAGAAAGAGGGTAAAAAAATGTAGCACTACAGTGAAATGTTTTATTTTAAATTGCAAAGTATTATGTTTTTTTCATTAACCCTTACAATTTTCATCTGTTAATGTCCTCAGGTATCCAAACATTGCCTGTGAGCTGCTGACATCAGATGTGAACCACATCAACGATAAGCTTGGAGGGGATGAGTCGTTGCTTGAAATACTGTACTGCTTCCTGGAGCAGCCATCTCCCCTTAATCCTCTTCTGGCCAGCTTTTTCAGTAAAACTATCGGCAACCTCATTGCTAGAAAAACAGAACAGGTATAATAATTAAAAATAAGCAATGTTTTCTTTGTGGGGTGTTATTTAGGCCCAATGCTTCTACAAGAATGGGAATTTTCATTGAATCTGCAGTGGACAGGGAAATGTTGCTCACTGTTACCCAGGAATTTTATGATGTTGCCATTTCTGCATGTCTGTCTACTAAACAGTCTGCTACTACATTCTTAGATTAATTTTAGGAACATATAAGGGTGGTTAGGGTTAGAGATAGATGGAAACTTAGTTTGTTGCTGTTGCCAGCACTCAAGTCTAATTTTAACAAGCAGTCTTTAATGGTATTTTATATATTGATGACTCTTGAAAATCAAAATCTAGCTTTGTGTTGATTTCGATATTTTAAAAACTTTTAACATGTTCATGAATTCCCATCACTTTGCTGTGATGCAGGAAATACTAGAGCGAGCATGATAAATGTTTTTTTAAATATTTTTCAGCCTTGTCTGGGCCAGGAGTGTCAAAAAACGACCTGCCAAGCCTGTACAGTCCACACACAAAGCAGGTGCCCTTAGTGATGTTACTGTATCAGGCTCACAGACATGCAGACCCTGTGCTTCTCTACCTTTACCCAATCACAGTGCTCCTGTTGGATATTGTCACTGATATATTTCGAGAGAGGCTTGCATGAAAATGGTGGGATAAAAAATTGACGTGTACTCATATTTCTCAATATTCTTCCTTCAAATTGTGGAGCAGCCTCAGCGAATGAACCACCATTGTTCCCATGGGAACTGTGCTGGGTGTTTTTTTTATGATCTCAAATGGATATTTTTGAACATAGTAGGAAGGGATTTGTAATTACATTATTAAAGAAAAGAAAAATAAACATTTCAAAAGTGAAAGAAGTGGAGAAGTGTATTTGTAGAAGTTAAGGGAAAATTGAGATGTTTCAGTTCAGCTGTTTTCAAAAAGCAATAGTAGTAGTTGTAGAAGCGATTTTTTGCTGTTTTATAGTGCTGATATCTAGCAGATAAAGCTTTGTATCTTTTGTGGGGGTTTTGACAATACCTTCAGCCAAGATTTCAGCCAGTTGAAACACTAGAAGTCTGCTAAGAATGAAACAAGTCAAGCTGCTTCTGACTCATCACTGGCATTGTTTTAGTTAAGGTCTTTAGTTAAGTTCAGCACAGTGCAAATACTTTTAAACCGCCTTTTTAGTCCTTTCTTTTGCTTGGTTTTACAGTCAGGGGAAATGCTGCGCTTATTTTCTTTTATTTTGTAATACCTGAAGCATATTTTGCCAACATGATGTTGAAAATAAGGAGGATGTTGAACTATATAAATCACTAAGTAAACAAACTCACAAGAGAAAATCCTGTGATGGGAAGCTTCATTGTAGTGGAAATGTCTTCCTACAGTACAAAATAGATGTTAAAATATGCTTAAATGTAACAAAAATTAATAAATCATGTTTTAAATATTGTTCTCAACAGACATAGTGTACAAATACATAATAGTTGTATGTCAATTGTGAGTAGTATTTCGGTCATTTATGATACGAATGAAGTTCACTTGAGATTGACACTTCTGGTCTTGGTTTAAAAGGCAAAGTTTACAAAACAGTGAGATGTTGCCTTTAGTTAGAATAGTTAAAAAATCTTTTTTTTTTTAATTGAACATGCTGACATATCAATTATTTTAGAGGCACATATGGTGCCAACTAAATGAGATTAAAATGCTGCTCCTTATTTACAGTAAATCACTTTCTTCCTGCAGGTCATTGCCTTTTTGAGGAAGAAAGATGGGTTCATCAGTTTAGTACTGAAACACATAGACACTTCAGCCATGATGGATCTGCTGCTGCGACTCATCAGCTGTGTGGAGCCTGCTCCATTAAGGCAAGACGTGTTGAATGTAAGCCATCTGCATTTGTTTTTACTCTGAACTGCGGTCATTAATAGGTGACAGAATGAGTTCTGTGTCATCTTCATTAGCTGTATTGGTCTGCATGTTTAGAAATGTCAATGATAAACAAAGAAAAAACAGAGTTAGAAGGAATACCAAAAAGATATTGGATACTTTGTTGCATATAATAATAATAATAAGAATGTGTGTGTAATAGGTTTATACCTTAACATTTGTGTGGAAACAGATGCTTAATATGTACGTCAAATATGAAATTGTACGTTTCTTTATTCAGTTTCTGGTATTATAGCACCTTTTACACCATTACTGTTTAAAAAGACATTTATCAAAATCCCTTTATTTACTTTTTGTGGGTTTGTCACATCTGTTATGAATGTTTTGCAAAAACATTAACTGTAATTTATTCCCTTTGGTTTAATCACAGTAACAAAATGACTTGGGAGAAAAAAGGGTTCTCACAACCCTCCTGTGATGTTCCCAATAGGTGAAAATTGCACCATTTTCAGTGTGCAATGTTGGTACAGATTTATTCCAAAAGACTTGCAACTGTAGTTGCTGTCAAATGTATTTCCACCAAGTACTGACTTAGAAGGCTGAATACTTAAGCAATCAACATATTTTAGTTTTGATTTTTGCTTTCATTTTGTACTGACATACTGTATACATTTTTTCATTAAATTGTTCAGTTTAAGAATTCAAATTTAGATTAAAAATATATAAAAAAATGGTTATTTCATTTGTAAATCAAATTCTGCAAGGCTTTGTACCTTTATAAAGCAGAGGTTTTTGAGTAAAAGTGAAAAATAAAGTATCAAGTATTTTAAGTATAAAAGTAAATAAAAATAAGTATGAAAGTACAAGTAAATATCATTTTTTCATGTACTGTGTGACTTTTTTTACAATTAAAATTTATCTTAACTAGAAATAGTAAACATTTTCACTTGCACACCGCTTCTCACTTCCATCATCTCCTTAACTATTAAGTTAAAAAAAACTACTGAAGACTCGTTCCATTTTTGTCTCGAAGATGTGTTCTAAATAACTTTCCTCATGTTGCACCCATTTTTTATCTGCAAAGTATGAAAGTATACAGTATGTCTATAGTTGCTGTATGTTGATTTGAACATTACTTCACAGGCTTCCTGAACTGAGACATGGAACTATGTCTAGCAAAAATGGAGAACAGTGTGCCATGAACACTGCTTTTATAGACAACTTTAAAGGTGACTAGAACCGTTCATTTTATGGAATGTGTTGAAGGAGGTCACTTTTAATCATGATCTTTATATAGCATTAGCAATCGTTAGCAGATCTTAATTTATGATATGGCTTATAGAAACTGAGCATATCAAATAATTCAACTGTATTTGTCATTATACTTACATGGGTGCATAGTATAGTGAAAAGTGTTTCTCATTAATCTCTCAGGTGCAGTATATAAATAGAACAGCAGACAAGACAAGAGACAGAAATATAATAATATGTATATATTATATGAAATATAGTAACAGTGTAATTAACAGTATTGTGCCAGTGCAAAATTGTCAAAAACTGTGCAAATACACAGAGAAAAGTATACAAACCGGACAAGAAAAGTGCAAAAGTAATATGGCAAACAATGCAAAAATAATACAGCGATTATTAAAGAGTGCAACTAGAACAGTTTTAAGTACAATTTCTGCTTACATTCAGTTGTCGTGTATGTAGTGGTGTAGAAGCACAGTCATTGTGGGTACAGGAAGAAGTGAGGAGAGATCATAGTGTGATGGGAGGGAGTGGGGGCGTCACCAGCTTGACAGCTCTGGGGGAGAAGCTATTTTGGAGTCTAGTTGTGTGCAACTGGAGCGACTGGAACCTTCTACCAGATGGTAGGGGGACAAACAAGTTATGACTGGGTGAGTGGGGTCAGACATAATTTTGGTGGCTTTTTTCAGACTCCTGGTGTTGTAGATTTCTTGGATGGATGGTGAGGCACTGCTGATGATGTGTTGGGCAGTTTTGACCACCCGCTGCAGTGCCTTATGGTTGGATGCGGTGCTGTTGCCGTACCAGACATGCAGCTGGTCAGTATGCTCTCCACTGTACATCTGTAGAAGTTGGTGATCATCCGTGGATGCAGGCGTATTTTCATCAGCCTTCTCAGGAAGCACAGCCGCTGTTGTGCCTTCTTGATGAGACTGGAGGTGTTAAGTGCCTATGTGAGGTCCTCAGAGATGTGAACATCTAGGAAGGAATTTGAAGTTGCTCAGCATCTCCACCGCAGTCCCTTCCAAGTAGATGGGGGTGTGGGCTTTTGTCTCCTGAAGTCAATGATCAACTCTTTGGTTTTGCTGATGTTGAGACATAGGTTGTCATCAGTTAATCATGTACCATATCATTCAGTACTTAATCCAAATAAACATTTTAATATGAAGTCTAGAGTGCACTGGCAGCAAGTTCTGTCAATAACAGAAAGAATATTATACTCTCAACAATATTATGCAAAAGAAAGAAGGACATTAAGTTTATTAATTAAGCAACAAGGCACGAGTGGCTATGCACATTAATTTGAACATTTCCATTGATCGTACAAGCTTTTAAAATCTGTCCAATCCCTAGTTTATCTGGCATTTTCTTTTTCGCTGGGAGAGCGCTCCCACTGCTGCTGGTCTCAGTGCCTACCAGAGTATCACTCCAGTGCTTTATGCCATTAAAATTGGGTTTCCAATTACCGCTTAGTGAAGTCTCGTTTTTATGTCCACTAACAGACATAATCTCCCTTGCTTCTACCCGAGCGTTTTTTATAATTTCTGCACCATTGTGCTACGAAGGCAGTGGTTGGTGTAAATTTGTGTTCCAGCTGCTCTACATATTCTTGCCAACACTGTTGCAAGATAATGTCGGTTCCTTTGTGTACCTACAAAAATAGAATAGTCTATTAGGAGGTTTACTGAGCTATTCAATTTAACAATCATTAATCTTAACAGGTGTAATTACTGTACCGTGGTCCGTCATCATTCATGTTTATCCTCTTCGGGTGTAAGTGAATGCAGGGAGGTTGCTGGGTAGTAGAGATAAGTATTTTTCTGCAGATGCAATGGAAAAGCTTTGATTCCCAGGTATTTAAAACATGTATCCTCTTTCTTATCTATGCTGAGAAGTAGTCTTTAAAAGCCTATGCAATTGATTTGATTGACCGTCAGCGCATTGATATTTCTTTATCACACGGTAAAAAGCCAAAATTCCTTCCGGGGTGTGCATATATCTGAGATTACAGCATGGCTTTGATCACGTGTCAGCCAGTCAGCTTTCAGGACCGGAACTATCCATTTCATAATATACAATATGTGATTCAGAGTATTGTGTACAATTAAATATCCTTTTTAGATTTCCTCCGTTGAGATTTAACTTGATTTTAAAAAAACAAGGCTGGCTTTTACATTCTGTCTGTTATTGTGAAGCAATTAGCATAGCTTGCCTTTCTTGATTTATTTGTAAGACAAATCAAACTTCAGACTTCTATTAGCAGCAAGATACTTAAAACATTGTTAACAGAATGTAAAATTTGAAACTTTGAATAATCTGCTTAGTTGTGAATGCTCATGCCATAATTCTGATTAATTTTATTAAGCAGGAGCATGCATAGAAAAATAATGAAGGGTCCAAAATGGATCCCTGTGGAACACTACATCCTTAATTATCCAGATCCATCCATATTCCTCCAAGGCAACATTGTATTAGCAAGTATTGTATAATTGTTAAACAGGATCTAGATGGACAATAAATAACTTATGATGAGTACAGAATTAAATCTATTTAATATTAAAAGGAAAAACTAAAAAGATAGTCACTGAATACTTTTGTCACGTTATTATTATTATTATTATTATTGTTATTATTATTATAACTATGTACAATGATCTCCAGAGAACAGTCTATCTGAATTTTCACTAAACCTTCTGAATTTTAATAATAGGATGAGATACAGATTCATCTACATGGTCAATATTTAAATATATATAATGTTTTATGCTAACTGATAAAGATTTTACCTGGCAAAATGTCTGTTGACAGTATTTTTTGAAGGAATTATCACATTTTATATGTTCAGTTAAGATGTACTAAACACCTAGCATCCAGTGATCTTTTTTTTATTGTTATACAGAGTTGTTATATATAAGAAGCTTTTCATAATTCACTTATACACATACCTGCTTGACCTCTGCCTTATCACATGCTTGTTGACATTGTGCAGTCTCCTGCCATTAATCATTTTTGAAATAACATAAATATATTGAAATAAATGTAGTCAAATAGACAGGCTTGGATTTGGTCACAATTTCCCACCAGCCTCAAATCAGATGCCCAGTATTTGATGGTTGAATTTCCTTGAAGATGAAATAAGTCTCTTGCAGTCTAAAAGGCATCAGCTGTGTTGTTTGTAATTCAGTGGGTTGAAATTTTGATTACATTCAGGGACAAAAAGTGCAAGCACATCATGCCTAAATATGAATTCAATAATAAATATATTCAGTTCTGTTTGTCTGTTACCTATTGTCTGTAAGACTTTTTGTTTTAGACAAGTATACACGTATTAGTGGGTGTTTATTATAAGAAGGATTTTCTACTTTTTCCAATCATTTTTCTGTCAGGTGTAGCTCAGCAGCCTGCTTCGGATCAGCATCTCTGAAAACAGGCAGCACTGCATTATGCTGCTGATGTTATATTAAGCAATATGAAAGCAGTTCTTATGCTTTCTGAAACTTAGTATGGTATTCTAAAACCCTCATGTTGTTCTTTGGCACTTTTAAGATCAATTTATGTAAGGATATAGACAACATCTTTCTAAATCAAGTAGCAGGTGCAACAAAAAGAATATAATAAATAGGTGTCTTGTTGGAAAACTCAGGTGAAACTTGACTATAGTAACCAGCTAATGTTTTTTCATCCCTGATTTCATTGCCATTGATGGTCTGATATTTCTCATTTATTCACTTCAAGGGAAAGGGTGTTTATAAACAAATGTATTCACTTTTTGTGGATATAATTTCTGTGGAAGCAGACAATGTTATTACCACCATAAAAAGTAATCAGTTGGTATTATAGACTTGAGTGTCATTGTAATTATTATTAAACCTTGTGCTTGTTATTTTGTTAATGAAATTGCTTTCTTTTGTTGGAAATGATGATAGCCTGAAAAATATTTTTTTTTTTTTTATAAATGAAGCATTGTTATTCCCAGTGTAGAGTTAGGAGGTTTGGAGTTTGGAGATTTTTGGGAAATGGTGTGACTAGAGATATTCTATAGAATACTGTGGAATTTGAAATTGATGGTTTTAATTTTCTTTTTTTCTCCAGTGGCTAAATGAAGAGAAGCTGATCCAGAGACTTATAGAGCTTATTTGCACGGGAGCAGAGGAGGAGGTTAGTTGGGATTCAAAATCTTATTATTTGGACATATTTGAGACAACGGTGGACTTTTTCAGTATTGTTTTTGTTGCCAACACCTTCAACCATCTGATAGCGTAAATATAGGATTCAAGTTGTCTGAAATATAATATGGTGTTTTTCAGAAGAGTTTGCTGTTAGCTGTCTATTTTACTGTCTGTGAAAAAATATCAACTAAGTACACAGTAGTTGCTTTTTGTGTGAATGTTCATCATTTACACAAGCTCTCGGGAAATCACTTCATTAAGAGGGATTATTTTTATTTTTAGAAACAGTCCAATTCTTCTCAAACCCTGTGTGATATAATTCGACTGAGCAGAGACCAGGCAACACAGCTGCAAGACACCACAGAACCTGACCCACTGCTCACTGTGCTGGAGTTGTAAGTGTCTGCTTATTTCATTGTCCTGCACACTCACTCGTACTGTCTGTGAAAAATGAAAGGAACCCATACGCCTGTTTGGTCATGGAAAAAGGTAGAAAATAACACATAACTAAAGAGATGACATTACCACTGAATGACCCTTATGGTTTTCTGTTCTTCAGCTGGATAAACTCTGAAATGTAGAACAATAAAAAGGCTGCTTGCTTCACTACATTATATACATTAATGTACATTTACAGTTTTTTGCAACTTAAAGAATATACCAGCATTTAAAATCTATTTTTAGTAGCCTCTCTTTTCTGTGTAATCTAAAACAGCTGAAGCACAGCCATATTGGGTTCTCTTTAAATGAAATGGCACTTTGTTCTCATGCTTCCTGTAGAAAATGTTTTGATTTTAGAGTGGAACTCTGAAAACTGTCTGTTAGATAAATTACTGTAAGTTTGGTAAAAATAAGCTTTAACATTTCATTATTGTTTTTAGTCAAGAAAGAACACACATTTTTCATAAGAATTATGTATTCATAGTGCCTTAACCATATTGAAGTGCGAAAGAGCAGTGCTAAAGCATTCCTAGCTTTAAGATTTTGTAGTGTCTGGTATTTTAAGCGTTATAAAAACCTGCCCTTATACTAAGTGATGCTAAATTAGTTCATCTTTTTAATTGAGGCTAAAAATACGTTCCCATGCCAGTGCAAATAAACTCAAGGTATTTCTACTCTCTTTTTAATTTAAAAGGTTTCTCAAAGTACTGAGCTTTAAAACTGATCAATAACCTTGCACAGTTTCAGTTCATCCTCTGTAAAGACCCACCTCTTGTAAACTTCTCGTCTTTTCATATCAGTGTAGTGCTTAACAGAATTACAATTTATATTTGTTTTATGAATGTCTATTTTTAATCATGAAACTCAAATGAACAACTCAAAGGAACTAAAATTATTTTTAAAAACTTTGTGACTTCATTGTGAAGAAAAAACTCAACATTTCATGTACTTTGCTTTGGCAGGCAGGAAAGTGTTGAACAGCTGTTGAAAAACATGTTTGAAGGAGATCACAGCGAGAGCTGCATAGTCAATGGAACGCAAGTGCTACTTACATTACTAGAAACCAGGAGACCAGTGTAAGCACTATTTTTCTTTGTGTTCTTCTCATTCCTTCTGCAGTTGCTGTAATTGATGTTTAAGAGCTGACAATGTTGGAGATAATACCTTTCCACTAGCTTACTTGTGTCCGTTTGCCTTTCTGCTCAGGGTCGAAGGGCTGATGGATTTGTGCTCTCAGGGATACGAAAGGTCTTACACTGTCAATAGCAGCATATTACATGGTATTGAGCCTCATTTAAAGGATTTTCACCAGCTCCTTCTTGAACCTCCTAAGGTAATCCTAAGGTGTTTGGTATTCTTTGTTAGCTTCTACATAGTTCCTACAGGAAGTTGTCATCATAGAGAACCACTCAGAATGGATGATTTACATGTGGACAGGAGATGTGAATAAGCGGATAATTAATAATTCAGTTTGAGTTTTAACACGTGCTTGATTTGGTTGAATTTATTTTTTTCCAGACTGATGGCAGGCTTTACCCCAGGCAATGGAACATTAACATTTCAGTTTCCAGAATACATTAAAGTTCATAGGTACAGTTTAGTGTTAGAAAAGATGTGGAATTAAGAACTGACAAAATGCATTCATCCTTAGAGTGGTGACTAGGAGGTCTGTGTGCAGCCTTACGCTGACTGAAGTTTCTGGAGCGAATTCTGGATAGATTAATTTTTGAAAAGGATTAGTTTAGGAAAGCTTGAATAAAAGCCAATTCATTGTGGAATGTGGTTGTTTTAGATTGTGCTTTTTATGTTTCAAACAGAAATGTGCAATATTGACCACGATTGGAGTGCTTGAAGAGCCACTGGGCAATGCTCGTCTTCATGTAGCCAGACTCATTGCCTCCCTTCTACAGACCAACATGCCCAGCATTACCGAGGAGCTTTGCAGGCTGAATACCATGGACCTTCTACTTGTGAGTTTTTTGTTTCCTAGAAATACTGTGAAAAGTTTTTATCTTTTGCTAATGAATTTCTACAGTACATCATTCAATTTATTTTTGTACGTCTTTGCACTGGTTTAAACAATAACTGAAGCTAAAAACTATCATGCTCTTTACAAAGCTGAAATATTGACTAATGCACCAGATGTCATTATAGATCTTCAATAACATGTTGCTTTTTCTGTGCCTAGGATTTATTTTTTAAGTACACCTGGAATAATTTTTTGCACTTCCAAGTGGAGCTGTGCGTGACAGCAATTCTGAACCACTCCGCCCACGAAGAGAAAGCTACAGGGAGTCCAGGCAATAAGGAAGAGGGGCAGAGCCCCACTGCCGACTCTGAGACTAACGACAGCTCATCTCAGAACATCCTTGTGGCTCACGTATGGTTTGCTTCTTTTCCATCTTTTTTACTTGATCATTTTCCTTGGGAAAACCTACCCGATTCTTTTATAAGAATACAAATTTAGTGTATTACTAACAGCGCATCATTTGAGTTTTTTGCATTTTCTGATTACTTATTTACAAGATATTTAACTACTCAATAGTTCAATAACCACAAAATGCAAAGCCTTTTAAAAATTTAGTTGAAAATTAACAATCATCTGGCATGTTTAAATAACTGCATAGCGAAAACTGACACACATTTGATCTGCATGCATCAGAGACTGTGGTGAACACAGGGGTCTTAATCAATGTTGTACCTCTAGGTCAGAAAACAGATGGATGATTTGTTTGGGTCATTTTAAGACTAGAAAGCAAATGTTTAGATGGGACTTATAGTCTAGTCTTAAGTTTTTATGTTCTTATGTTCTTTATATTCTTATGTCTTATTGCTGTTGTCCGTGGGACCATTTCCCATTGTCCCATTTGTACTACTGTAAATCATATTGACTGTCATGTACATTTTGCACAATGTGGTTGTTTTAATAAAAAATGTTTTACAAGCAGGCTGCATATACTGTATATGCAGTATAAATTTGTCAAAAATGCCCCATGCTTTTCACTATCCAAGGGATTAAGCCATTAAAACAAGGTACATACTGGTTGGATGACCTCTGCAGTATTCAAATGCAGTCTTTCTTCATTCTGTTATGTTTTATTGTGTGTTCTTTCTCAAAAGCTTTTCCAGAAGTGCCGGTTGGTGCAGAGGATATTAGATGCCTGGGAAGCCAATGACAAAATACAGTAAGGATTTCTATGAGGGCTGACAAAGCCAGTGTCAGAACTAATAACTCTGTCGCATTTGCAATAACCTAACAGAGAGAGTGTTATCCCCAAAGGGCAATTTGTCTTAAGGAAATAGACAATATAAAGAAAATACACAAACAGTACACATATATGTGCACAGGAGAATAATCTGTTAAGCAAGGTTATATATATAACCTGTTTGTTTTTAAATTGGGAAATCTGTATCTGTGTTCTGGGAGAAGTAATTGGAATTAATTAAACAAAAAGTGTGAGGGATCCTGGAGAACGGAGTATCCTTTACACAATACTCGTAACTGATAGATGTGGGATCTGGCCTAAAAACTAGCTCCAATTACTTTCTGATATAGTTTGACAATACTCCCCAGTTTGTTCCTCAGATTCAGTTTCCCAAATCAACAAATCAGGGTAAAGGTTAAAGTAGATTCAATAAAAGACTGATCAAACATGTTTATCACCCTTAAACAATTAAACAGTTTATCACCTTTAAAATAGTTTTGTTCCTACCAAGTGGTAAACTCATCCACAGCTGGTCCATTGACCCACTCCTCTACTTGCAACAAAACTAACAGTAACAGTGTCTCCCACAAATTTAATTTTGTGTCTGGAGCGGTGATAACTCTTTCAATTATTTTGTATTCTACAAATGATGTCACATGTATACAACAAATGATTTATATAGAACAAAGCAGCCAGTAGGTAAGGTTGAGTACATTTAAATGCTGAAGAAAATCCACAAATAGCAACCTAGCATGAGTCTTATTTTTCTCAAGATGCTGGAGGGCAAGATTAAGAACACATACTGTAGCATCTTCCACATCCCTACGTGCCTTATAAGCAAAATGAAATGGGCCTAACTGATCTTGTGCCTTTGCCACAATCTTGATTTTAACAATCTATTCAAAAGTTTTCATAACCAGTGAGGTGGGGGCTACTGGTCTCTAATCATTAAGTGAACTAGGAGATACGAGCTTTGCCACTGGGACCTCAGCTTATTCTTTCCAGATCCTAGGAACCTTTCGCTGACTTAATGACATTTGGAAAATAAAGAGAGAAAAAAAGCCACACAGCTGTTTGGCACACCTGAGGAATTGGAGGAAACCAGGATTTTAATGTCTTGTTACAAATCAAGTGAGGAATCCAGTTTCAGGTTAATCCAGAATTAAACCATTGCGAAACTGGCATAGTTACTGGCAGCTCTGTGGGTCAGAACAGAAGCTGTCTGAATCTAAAAATAGATGGCTAGAGACCAATAGTCTACCTGCTGATTCACCTTCACTGATGCCGAGGACATTGTGCAGCAGCACATAAAAGGAAAAAAAATAACTTTCTGAGAGCATTACTAAACACAGTGGTTTAAAATTACAAAGAAAACGTTTAAAAAATAAGAAAAAAAGACTTGTCAGTACTTTGTATGTATTACAATGGTTTAAGGTGTGATTGAAGCATAAGGTCTGCAGTTTTGTTTAGTCTTCCAAATGACAAACACCATTCAGAGGTTTTAGATGTGACTTTCATAACTCGCATATTATGCTAACCATGCTTCTGTTGCAGGGCAGAAGGGGGGATGAGAAGAGGCAATATGGGACACCTCACAAGAATAGCCAATACTGTGGTACAAAACATGGAGAAAGGGCCTGTCCAGGCTCAAATCGTTGACCTCATCAAAGGTATTCATGTAGCGTGCTCTTCACACTACTGTCCTGTGAATGTATTCGTAACAACGATAACATTGTTCACTATGTGTCAGAAAAGAGAATAACAAATTACTGTTTATTACTAATTAACTTTATTATTCTCCTTTACCAGAATAAGTAGAAATTACATAAAAGTTAAGAATTTAATTATATTCCCCTGCTACACTGCATACCACAGTTACACAAAAGTATCACCCTTAATATGATTGCATTGCCATAGGGAACAGAGTACCTAAACTCCATTTCTTACAAATCAAACAAGAACACAATCTTTATTCTGTACTTTAGACAACTATACTATTAAACACACGTGTGTTCTTAAGCACTGTATCCTTGTGTACATATGTGCTGTAATTATCACACAAATACCCTGAACCGATTTATAACACAACACACATTCCCTGTTCAGTTATCCAGCTGTCCCTGGCTTTGTGTTTTGCACCTGTTCCATGATGCAAAAATAAGAGTAAACCTGTGGATCCCAGGGCATCATATAGGGGACAACAGGCCCTGTTTGTACTGCCGTGCAGCCTGGTCTTATGGGAAACAGGATTCTATAAAAGTCTTGGCTTTTTTTACGGAAAGCAAAGGATTTCCTGGTAAGCCTGCCCATGCCTCATGCAAGGAGCGTTTAATATGCTGCTGGAAACTCTTGGACAGTCGATGATTGGACCGGCATTGATTTGAACTGCCAGCAGGTCACTGTGTGAAATACCAGCCAAGTCTATCTGGATGAGGCACTTGAGGGTCACGAGAGCACAGCATTCCCTTTTTACTCTTTTCGCAATAACGGTAAAATCCACCCTGAAAAGCGACATACTTGTTTCCTTATAACGAAACTGGTACACTTTTCACTGCTTAAATTGTGGTTCCCTGGATCATTTTTGGTTTTATCCTTAATACGGAAGTACCAGCCAGAATGTGTAATGTGTATCGTGCTGTGGTCTTGCAGAGCTACCTGAGGATTGCCGAGGACGGTGGGACAGTTTTGTAGAGGAGACGCTGACAGAAACCAACAGGAGAAACACAGTAGATCTGGTGAGGGCATGGAAGTGCGGTTTTCTTTTATCTCGATTCGACTGGCAAACCTAGAGACAGGCTTAATATAATGTTTCTGTTTTTCAGGTGACTACACACAATCTACATTCTTCTAGTGAGGATGATGATATAGAAAGCCCGTTCCCCAATGAGCTGTCACTTCAGCAAGTAAGATTGCCTTCTTTTAATATTTACATGGGTGTGAAACACAGGGTTGAGAAAATTAAGTTGCTCTGGGTATTAGTCACTCTCATGAACGAGCATCAAAAGTGCACTATAGGGCAAGTGATAGACCGTAGGGGTAATACTGACAAAAGTTTGAAGATTCTCACTTGCTTCTTTTTGTTGTCATCAGTCTTCACCCAGCCTGCAGACATATTTAAGATATTGTACTGTATCTGTGCTTGAGCTATTACATTTTTCTAGTAGTTTGGAACATTATTGATTTGAATGCTCTGTTGAAACATAATTTTGTAAAGAAGTGTAAAGTCAAGACTCAGGATAATAGAAGAAACTGAAATGCTTCTCAGCTTGTGGACAGAAAGCCAAATTAAGCCGTAATCTGCTGCTGTTTTTTTTACTGTAAAGGAATATTATTTCTAAATTTATTTACCTCAGAAAACAGATCTTAATTAAAATACATATAATTTGTATTTCTCAATATTTTCTTACAGAAAGCTTTACTCTCAAGTTTCTCCATCAAAGGTTTTTATTGATGAGTGATGAAAACTAACACGGATTTTGTAACATGTTCCTCATTTTTCATTCTTTTATGTCTTTAAAATGTTCACATAACACTGTTATTATGCAATGGTTGTATAACAAATTCTATAGTAAAATCCCATCCATTGTGGTGACTCTATGAACTCTCTACCCTCTAACCCAAATTCAGTTGCCATTTAATCAATGGTTACTATTACCTAGTTTTCGCCAACAGTGTTTTTTAGGAATTTGAGGAAATTGGCTGTATTTAGTAACTGTATCTGTCCATTTTAATCTTTGATGCCTTTTCAGATTTAAATATTTCAACCCTTGAAATATTTCAACCCCATTTGTTTCTGACTTTCCTAGGCTTTCTCAGACTATCAAATCCAGCAGATGACAGCCAACTTCGTTGATCAGTTTGGTTTTAATGATGAGGAATTTGCCGAACATGATGACAACATCAAGTCAGATTTTAAACTTTATTTTTTTTTAAACATGTCATTTGCACCATTGTACCATTTAAAATATTTATATCTAAATTTGTAGTAACTACTTTGAATTGTTTTTTTTTGCTTATATACATTATATACATTTTTGCTTATAACATTTACAGTACTTTTAAAAATACATACACTAAACAGTAAGGCTTTAAATTGTGCTTCTGAAAAGTAATATTGTAGATATTTAGCAAATGCTTGTATTTTGTTGAATTGTAAAAATATTTGGGTGTTTGAACGTTTTGTTCAAACCAAAGCGAAAGAAGTTTCTGTGTAACAAATTGAAATTTATGGTGTATGTCAAACACAACCAAATGGTGTTCCTTTTGTTATCTTGAATTTTCTAACTTTTAAGAGGGTATATAATATACTAAGCAGCAAGTAATAGGTTTATTCCATGCTGAAAAGAGCAGGAAGGAAACACAAACTTCTTCCAGTGTGAGCCGAAATGTTGTGTTTCCATTCTTGTCTTCTCAGCATGGAATAAACCTATTACTTGTTCCTTTGCAGCCTACACATGCTGATGCAGCTACCCTCCTGAACTACAATGTACAAAACCATAATTCAGACTTTCAAAATGTTTTTTTTATTTCATTCTTTCTTCAAAGCTTCAGTTTTTTCAATGCAGTTTATTTTTTCTCTTTTTAGTGCCACGTTTGATAGGATTGCAGAAATAAATTTCAACCTAGATGCTGATGATGAAAGTGTAAGTTATTTTATTACAGTGCCTAATATAATTTATTGGCTAATTTTGAGGTTATACCTCCAAAACCTTGTTAGAAATGGTAGATGACAAGTACATATAACATTCACAAGGTTTCTTTTCATCTTCCTCAAGAGACAATAATTCTATTCACATTTTCAAGGTTATGGTTATGAAGTTGTAACTACAGCAGAAAAGTGATAGAATCCTTTTTCACTGCATAGTAAAAAATAGTTTCCATGTTTTCCATTTTTCGTTTTGTCTGTAGCAGAGTATGTGGTATTGCTTTCCATAAAAATCTTTATGATAAAACTGAGCAATGAATAATCAGAGAAATGCTACATGTTTATTTTAATTAAATCACTGAATTATATGGAACTGTAGTGATGGTAAATTAAAATGTACAGTATATGTTGTTTGCACCACACTTTGGTAAGAGCCTAGTAATAAGGCTTTCTATAGAGAGGCTCTTCTAGTAAGCAGTCTTGTCTTTTTTCATTCAGGCAAATGCAGCAGTTTTCGAGGCATGCTGTAAAGAGAAAATACAGCAGTTTGACGATAACGAAGATGAAGAGGATATCTGGGAGGAGAAAGAAATAAACTATGCAACACAAGTCAAGTCAAGAACACGGTAAATGATCTTATGCATTTTATTCACTTAGCATAACTAAAATAAAACAAAATGTGTTAAAAATCTTCTGATCAATCTAGCTCTGGTCACCAAACTGAAGGACTGTATATGTACTGCGTTAATTAAATTGAATGGACAAAATTCATACATACACTTTTAAAATACTGTAATTTGTTGATGTTCCTTTCTTGTTTGTTTTTTTAACTACGGAGTGCCCTGATTTTTGCCATCCGATCTAAACACCATTAACTCTCAAACAAGTAAACTCAGAAGCAGCTGTAGATATTAGTAGTGACTTGTGATTCTTTTTCAGATGAATTTTCTAAGTACTTGCAAAGACTAAACACAGAATAATATTTTGTGATATTGGAGAATAAACATTATCAATGGGGGTGCTTATGTAAGCACAAATGATGTTTTACAGTAAGCAAATTTGCATTAAACAGTTTATATAAACTTCATAGGGATTGATTCACAATAAAACTCAATAGGCTGTGTTGTGTATTTAAATTATATGTATACACACATTATTGAAAAATGCCTGTTGATAATATAAAGTTTTTTTTGTCCACCTCTGGCATAGCTCTAAAATTAGGAATTTGTCTTCCCGCATACCCCAACTCTCCATGAGACACACAGACAGGGAGAGAAGCTCGGGGTCAGAGCGCAGGGTCACCCATTTATACGGTGCTCCTGGAGCAGCTGGGGTTAAGGGCCTTGCTCATGGGCCCAAAAGAGTAGGTTTCCTCTGCCGGCCGCAGGATACAAACCGGCAACCTTCCAGCCACGGGCACAGATCCTTGGCTACAGTGCCACCACACCGCATTGCATAAAGCATTTTGGAATCTTCTTTAGTGAAAAAGAGCACTATATATATAGTTTTAGTTTTGGCACAGGGTTTGAATGTGTTCAGAATGTTTTGATCTGTTCAATTTAAAAATAATTGCTATACCAGGGCACTGTTCCTTGTCCATATTTACAACACAAAAACATTGTCATACAATCAGGTTTGGAGTATATGGTAATTTGCCATCTGCAAGTAATACCCAAGACAAAGCTTAAAATATGACCAAACAGGGAGTGATGATGCATGGATAATCCTATGAATATCATTACAGACGGATAGGTACTGCTTGCCCGCGGGTGATTTTAATTATGCCAGCTTGTGCCTCAATTCTGCCCTCTTACAAAACACTTTCATTGAAATGTCACCCTTCTAAATGTCATTTGGAAAATTTTCTGTCAGTGCTGTGACAGATATTGATGATTTTTCTACCTTAAATATTTATTCTAAATTAAAATGCAAGTTCAAGGGCACCCCCAATCTGTTGCTTTAAAACTCTTTGATAAGAGTAGTTAATCTTATTTGAAGATTCGTTTTTGAAGTAGCAAGTCATTTTGTTCTATAGTTTTAGTTTGATAAAAATTCAAATCACCCTTTTGTCCTTTTCATTACCAAAAACATTAGCTACGCTGGATCAGATCTTTATTTTTTCTAATTTGATGTCCTGAGCTACGCTTAACCTGTTATTTAGAAGAGTCGGACTGTTGTGCAAACTGTTATGCAGGACGAAGGCCGGCACTGAATTTCTGTTTTCAGAAACAGACTTGCTTCCTGTGCAGAAATGAATTACAGATTCATCACAGTTCTGCCCACAAAGCTAAGCAGTCGCCAAGCACTTTATATACTGCCAATGCAAGCAGCACAGGAACACTGGCTGAGGTAATCAGTTTACACTGTCCTGTCATGACTCGTATATTACTGTGTGCAATCCCCATTTGCTCCAGGTTTGGAGTTTCCCGTACATCTGAAAGCTCTTCCAAGAGCGATGTGGAGAATGGAGAGCAGGATAGAAGCATCAATTCGGACGAAGAGGAAGAGGAGCCGGGGACGAAAGAGGCCATTACTGACCAAGAAAACAGCAGGAACAAAAGCCAGACTGATGCCAAAGAGGCACATTCACCAGAAAGTAGGGATTCAGTTCCTTTCTTTCTTTCTTTTCTTCTCAGGGTTCTGCACCACAGTGCCGTTTACCTTATTGTGACAGCAATATCAGGGATTTAAGTCACCCTATTTGAGCTGCTTTGTACTGTTGTCTTGCTCCTTTCAAAATGTATTTTTAGGGCATTTTAAATGTAGCTTATCGTAACAAGATCATAACAGTGGCAAAGCCTTATCATTCACCCGATCAGATCACATTTAGAATGCCGTATTCATTTTTGGACCCATTAAATCTTATTTGAAGATTCATTTTTGGAATCTTTGCACAGGTGTACTAAATTACTAAGTTATTAAGTTAAGAGTTTTTTTATTCTAAATCTGAAAATCAATATAGACTACATTTTGTAATGGTT